GGCATAAATTACACATCTAATTTCCTGACTCCCTATCACAGTTTTTAAGGCCCTGGAGCACCAGGATGGTAGAAACACCCACAAAATGACCCCATTTTGGAAAGCAAACATCCCAAGGTATGTATCAGGCATAATGAGTTTTTTGAACATGTTATTTTTTTCCACAAGTTTTTAGAAAATGTGGAAAAAAATGAAAAAGTATTTTTTTTTTACACAAAGTTGTCAATTTATAGGATATTTCTTCTATACTCGAAAATACATTTTACTACTCCTCCTGAACATGACAATACCACAATCTGAAACTTTTTCACAGCTAAAGAAAGGATAAGCAAAAGATTACCTATGGTTTTAGGAGAGCATTGGACCAGGAAGCAGGCAACAGCAACAGGATTCGACCAGGCAGCAGGCAGGAATATAGTGGATAAACAAGCCAGGGTCAGAACAGGCAGCAGGCTGAGATCCAGGTAGAAGGAAGAAACATGGTCCATAAAAAGTCCTAGGTCAGTCCAGGCAGCAGGCAGAGATATGGTCAGCACAGCCAAAATATTGGTCCTAGACAACAGGCAGGAACATGGTCCATAAAAAGTCCTAGGTCTGTACAGGCAGCAAGCAGAGATATGATTAACCTGTGTTGGTTTGTATTGGTCCATGCAAAGAATTGGTCCAGGCAGCAGGCAGGAACATGGCCCGAAAGTTTTGGGTCAGTACAGGTAGCAAGAGGATATATGGTCAGCACAGCCAAAGTATTGGTCCAGGCAGCAGACAGGAACATCAGGCTTAGGGCCTTGATCAGGTAGGACTGGGGCACAGGGGTAGAGGCTTCGTCCCACCCAATCTCTTCGAAGCCTCCGGACAACAGACCCTATTCCGGGACTAACAAAACCCGGAGAAAACCAAAAACTGTTTTTTATCTATTCTGAAGCCCCTCACATATGCGAGACCCCTGTGTTATCTTGAATCCCACTACTGCAGTAGCAGGGCAAAAGATCAATCCAAGCAGCAGGCAAAAAACATTGTCGATTTAACAGGCCAAGGTAAGTCCAGGAAAAAGGCATAAACATGGTTGATAATCCAGGCGGCAGGCAGAAGCATAGTCGATAAACAAGCCATGGTCAGTTTTGGTGAAAAGCAGAAATGTGGTGTAGAAGCAATTCAGACGGCAAGCAGAGGCATTGTCGGTAAACAGGCCAGGGTCAGTTAAGGTAGAAGGCAGAGGCATGATAAATCATGGCAGTAGGCAAAAGATCAGCACAGATAACAAAAATGGGGAAGTTGTAGGCTGTTGAAAATATGGGGAACTAATATCTTATTATAGTGTGATAACGTTTGAAGCAGTCTTCGAAGCATAGGCCTGGTTGGGAGGGACATTGGGGACAATGAACACTGGTGTCTTTCCTAATTCCCCTTCTGCTGCATACCTTACATGTTTTTCGACGTCTTCTTCCTGTTTCTGATGGTGGAATTCTCTCAGGGAAATGGCGTTCATGCAGTCTGCTGACACAATCGGAGCGAATGGTTTGTGGTGGAGATCCTTGCTGATAGATTAGGGCAGTGATGACATCTTCAGTGTATTTGAAGAGGTGGCTAGGTCTTTCAGTTGATTTTTGATAGATTATATATGAATTTATAAATTGCCATGTGGAAAATGTATATTGCAGCTTTTTTGTACCAGTAGAGGGTCTTCCTTGTTGGTAAGTATGGCTGCAGCATGCGATCGTTTAAATCCACCCCCCCCCCCATGAATTGATTATAATTGAAGATACACTCTGGCTTTTGGACTTCCCCTCGTCTTCTATGAATGTCCACCATGATGTCATTATGGATTGTGGACAGGACATAAACATCTCTCCTATCCCTCCATGTCACAACCTGCACTTCCTCGTTCCTAACACTTGCAGATTCCCCTCTTTGTAGAGTCGTTCTAATTAAACTTTGTGGGAAGCCCTTCCTGTTTGGTCGGACAGTACCGCAGGCCATTGTTTTTTCAAGGTACAGGTGGCGGAAAAGGGGCAGGCTTGTATAATAGTTGTCAAGATAGATGTGATACCCCTTTTGGAGGAGTGGAAAGGCCAGGTCCCAGACAATTTTGCCACTTATGCCAATGTAGGTTGGGCACCCAGGGGGCTGAAGGTGGGAGTCTTTGCCTTCATACATGCGAAAGGCATGCACATAACCCGTGGCACTTTCACACAGCTTGTTGAGCTTAAGTCCATACCTGGCCCTCTTACTGGGCATTTATTGCTTGATTCCCAGCCGGCCAGTAAAGTGGATAAGAGATTCGTCCACACAGATGTTTTGGTCAGGGACATAAACTTCAGAAAATATTCTAGAAAAAAAAATAATTAGGGGGCGAACTTTGTACAGTTTGTCAAAGCCTGGCTGATCTCGGGGAGGGCACTGGGAATTATCACTGAAATGCAGGAAACGCATTATCATATCATAACGTGACCTGGACATTACGAATGAAAATATGGGAATGTGATGGATGGGGCGGGTGGACCAATATGAATGTAGTACATTTTTTTTTTGTAAGCCCCATGTTGACCGTAAGGCCCAAAAACAATCTAAGCTCTTCTAGTGTTAGCGGTCTCCACTCGAATGGACGGGCATAACACGAATTGGGGTTGGCTGCAATAAATTGTTGGGCAAATAGGTTGGTTTGATCGACAATTGACTGAAGGAAACTATCAGGGAAAAATAAATTAAAAAAATCAATTGGGGAAAAATTTTCTGTGTTGATCTGCACTCCTGGTTGTGCGGTGAAAGGGTGGATTGTAGCTGATCCTGTGTTGGAAGGCAGCCACAAAGGGTTTGCAAGAGAGTTTGGGAGGCAAGTTTGGGACCTGACTCTTGGGGTCTGGCGTGATATCCCAGTGCTGGTACTGGGCCTGTCATCCTGGGGTCTAGCTCTGTTGGTATTTTCTGACTGACCATTTGTGTGTAATGGCACTTGTATGTTGGCGCTGCTCGTTGTTGCCTGCTCTTCAGAGCGTCTTACTCTTTTTGTAGGGACTACTTCCTCTTCCGATTCGGTCACCGATCCACTGCTTTCTCTTGGCTCGTAATCAAAATCGGAATCGGACGGTGAGAGCTCCCCGCTGCTCTCGTCCGTCATGCCTAGGATTTGGAAAGCCTCCTCACTAGAATAATATTTTTTGGACATGTTGGCAGTATGTCAGGCAACTGTAATGGGTAATGGGTAACTACTGATGGGCTGCAGTGATGGTGGCTTTTATGGGTACTCTGATGACAGGCTGATGACAGGTACACTGACAGGCTGCACAGTTGTATGCGCTGACAGGTACGCGGTGATGGGCTGCTGACAGGTACGTGGTGATGGGCTGTGGACAGGTACACTGTGATGGACTGATGACAGGTACACTGTGATGGACTGATGACAGGTACACTGTGATGGGCTGCTGACAGGTACACTATGATGGGCTGATGACAGGTACAGGGTGATGGGCTGGTGATGCGCTGACAGGTACACTGACAGGTACACTGTGATGGGCTGCTGACAGCTACATGGTGATGGGCTGCTGACAGGTACACTGTGATGGGCTGCTGACAGGTACACGGTGATGGACTGCTGACAGGTACACGGTGATGGACTGATTACAGGGACACTGTGATGGGCTGATGACAGGTACACGGTGATGGGCTGGTGATGCGCTGACAGGTACACTGTGATGGGCTGGTAATGTGCTGACAGGTACACTGTGATGGGCTAACAGGTACACTCTGATGGGCTGACAGGTACACTCTGATGTGCTGACAGGTACACTCTGATGGGCTGACAGGTACACTCTGATGGGCTGACAGGTACACCGTGATGGGCTGGTGATGCGCTGACAGGTACACTCTGATGGGCTGACAGGTACACTCTGATGGGCTGACAGGTACACTCTGATGCGCTGACAGGTACACCGTGATGGGCTGGTGATGCGCTGACAGGTACACTCTGATGGGCTGATAGGTACACCGTGATGGGCTGGTGATGCGCTGACAGGTACACCCTGATGGGCTGACAGGTACACCCTGATGGGCTGACAGGTACACCGTGCTGGGCTGACAGGTACACTGTGATGGGCTGACAGGTGGGCTGACAGGTACACTGTGATGGGCTGACAGGTACACTGACAGGTACACTCTGGCAATCTATAATGTGCTGCACTGTACTGAGCTGTAACTCACGGTTCCCCTTCTTCTCCTCTCACACAGGATCCGTGTGTGAGGAGAAGAAGTGGTGACAACAAGTGACAGCTCTTTGTTTATACTTCTGATCGACTGTGATAGGACACAGCCGATCGCAGGGTAAACAGCCAATTGTATTGGCTGTTACCCTAATCAGGGAAAGCGCTGTGTCCATGGGACACAGCTGGCAAGATACCGGCTCGCTGCGCCGCCGGGGGCGCGCCTGGGGGGCGTGCTTTGGGGGCGTGTCCTGGAGGAAGCCAAGTGACAGCTCCTTGTTGCTACTTTTGATCGGCTGTGATAGGACACAGCCGATCGCAGGGTAAACAGCCAATATTGTTGGCTGTTACCCTCATCAGTGAAAGCGCTGTGTCCATGGGACACAGCGGACATGAGACCGGCCGGATGCGCGCCGCTGGGGGCGCGCTTTGGGGGCGTGTCCGGGACAACGCCAAATGGCGTGTACCCGGAAAGCTGCAGCGCTTTTCAAGCCGCCAAACGGCTATTGCCCGGGCGGCTAATGGTTAAACTACTCTACTGAAGGATTGTCATCTGAGCATGTATAGTAGCATGGGCTAAGTATATATTTTTATGTACTCTGCAAGCAGCCCTTGAAAGCTCCCTTGCCTATAGTATAGAATGTCAAAACTCTAGGGAAAATCCACTTTAAGTTTGCAATGTATGGATCAGGGGCGGACTGATAATTCATGGGGCCCCCAGACAATAGGGGATCATGGGGCCCCTGTGTCCTCGCCCACACTCAAACCACACCAAAAAAAAACTATGAAAGGTACCAGGGGCATCTCATTGGGCCCCCTACTGACCCTGGGCCCTCAGGCAGTGCCTGAGAGCCCGAATGGTCAGTCTGCCGCTGGTATGGATGTTTGCAGAGGTTAAAATGAGCTAATACACATGTAAATATATCAAATTTCAACTGTAGTCAACTCAAGCAGATAAGGCAAACATTTCTTATCTGTGTTTGTGCTTATTAGCTGAGGTCTAGTTGGTGCCCCATCTGCTTAAAGACAAAGTATGGGTAGCACTAAGGTCTGAAACTTTGCAGCATGATAATGTTGGGAATGTGGCAACACAAATCTACGGCAAAGGTCACAGCCAATACATACAGTGGTGTGGCAGTGAATTGGTCTATTCTAGCAAGTACAGCTTTGGTGATGTAATATTTTTTCTGCAGTTAAAGTATGCAGTGTTTGTTGAAAGATAAATTATGGTGTTTGAGAAACTGTTCAGACTGGTTTTATCATATATATGGTTTCAGATATACCAGTAAAAACTGCAATGTAATGTACATGTTTAGCAATGCATAACTTGATTGTGGTAGTCAATTTAGAATTTGGTTTGAAAAGTGTAGTTATTATTCAGGTAGAACACTGCATACTAATGATTAACTGATTATGGTTTTGCATTTGCTAGAGGTTCAACAAAAGCTGGAGAGCCCATGGCAAAGAGTATCAACATGTAATTACACTGGCATGTGAATTTATATCTCTCACACATATACATGGGCTTCAGCAGCACACCCAGCCTGCCTACCTCTGATCTTAGTCTGAATGGAAGCTGTATCTGTCTTTTGAATTGGTGCCTTTAAGCTTCATTAAACCCTATTGGTAGAAATCTTGGGACAGGGTGCCCAGAACTGAAAACAGTTTGGGGTCAAAGGTATACAGAGCATAATCCATAATTAATAGACCCCCATTACTAATTATCTTTCTGAAAATACTAGTTACTTGGCTGTCATACCAATCCAGGGGTTTAAATATTTTTTGAATCACTGGCCTGGAACAGATATATGGGGAGGAAATTCTGACTCTGCTGTGACTTTGCTAGCTGCCTCTTTGCATCAGGACAGTGACTACTGAAATCAGGCAATTAACAATTTCAGAATGAGGTCAACAATGATAGCCTCTATATTTCTCCCAGAAGAGATTTCCTTTAAAACACTGCCTGCAATTACCCTAGGGACAAGCCAGTGATGACATGTGGTTGTGGGTCTCAGGAATAGATTACCTCCGACAGATGAGGATGGCAGAAACTGGATGCTGGACTGGTATAAGATGTGGGATCATGTGGATGAATGACTTGACAAAGGGTTGCACTCGAAACGCATAATCATGACAACAGCCCAAGCCTCAGTTCCAGCTTATACTTAGCTTGTGGTCCATCACACCCACTTCCGGTCAGCGGCATCCTCCGGGTTGCTGACGTCACTGCTAGTGCAATGACCTAAGGATTACCAGTGGTCTGTCTGCACTGGTATCCACATTTACATCTATTATGTGGCTGGCCAGCCAGCCAGTCATCCACACGATCCTAGATTATTGCCATATTTTTGCACGGGGGTGGGAAGGTCTTCTTTAATCAATTTCTTCTCTGCTCCTCTTAATATTACTATTACTAGCCACTTTCAACAGGAAATACACATGAATCAATAGAACCAATGAACCGCTGTGTTTTCAGCAGGCGCCTAAACTTTGACACCTCAGTGTTTTAGAGAGACTGGAGTTTTTGTTGTTATGATACCTCATTTTGTATCTCATCACATGTTTAGATTTTAAAGTTTATACAAATTACACAGACACTATATATTTGTTCTTAATTATTTTATTATTATGTGCCCTGCCTACTTAATTACAATGAATTACTAAAGACAAATAGGCTGTTCACTTTGCAAGGAAATTTAACCTAGAGCTTTATGAATGTGGTGTCATTTCACTTTGCAAAGATTACCCAATAACCTACAAAGAAAATAATAAAAACTCTATTTTTCTTTGCACCTGATTGGATGATGGAAGTCAGCAGAACTTCACCGCATTCTCCAAGATCTATGGCAAATTACATTGCAAAGTGAACAGCCTATTTGACTTTAGTAAATGAACCCCAATAAGTCAATTTCCACAATGCTGATGCTCTCCCTTGGTGCGAAGAGACACTGGAAAAAAAGTCTAATGCAACACATTCTTATTGAATTTTTAAGATTATCTATTGATATATATTTTTATTTTATTATTAACAGTTTTTATTATTTTTCCTTTGTTGATTGAACAAACAATGAACACTTCACAGAGCATTCAACATTCATGACAGGCAAAGATGGATGCCGGGTCTCCTTGTGGCCAGTGGTCTTAGAGCTAGTTATCAGGGTGGCGATCGATGACAGCTGGACAGGATCATCTACCTCCCAGATTGCAGCAGGCATTTCTAGATGTTGCTGAGGCTGCTGTGAGTGTAGAGAGGAGTAGTCAGAGACCGTTTCCAGCTCTGGAGTCCAGGGAGAAGAAAGCAAGGGCTGTGGTAAGTGAGCCGGCGCCATCTTGGCTTTGTCCTGCAGCGGTGGCCCCAAGAGAGTCTCAAATAAGGCTTGAATCCGCTGTGCTAATGGGGTGAGTGGCAGAGCTGGTCCTCCCAGCTTCTGTGAGCAGGTGATGCAGGTATCCCAAGCACTGTGCATGAGCTGACAGGGGGAGAACTGTATTGTTTACATACAGTTCTCCTCCCCATCGGAGATCCTAGGCAATCAATGGGTGCCGGCGAGTAATCACCGGCCGGAACCCAGTGATTGACAGCTGTGGCCACGAATGGAGGTAGAGCCCCTCACTCAGAAATGCAAAATCATGATTTTGCACACCAGTGCCACCCTGTAACAGTATATCTGCTATAGGGAATTCAGGGGACCATTAAAGTGTATACAATGGGAATTTTTTTTAGTTTTGTATAGAGTAGGGAAGGATTAGACACTGTGGGGTTTATTTACTAATATTGGATAGTGCACAGTCAGTTTCACTTCTGCATAGAAACCAGCTTCCAGGTTTTATAGCTAAAGCTTAATTGAACATGCTGAGATTAGAAGCTGATTGGTTTCTATGCTGATTCTTATTTTGCACTCTCCAGCTTTAGTAAATAAACCCCTAAGTCCCCGTTGGAGATATCTACCCCTCTGTTTGTCATAGTGACCACTGTCTGAATTGCCATTATCCTCAAAAAGGCACAACTCTCTAAGGAGAGAATACAATTTACTTTGAAGAGATTTTCTCTCATTTCCTGTTCTGTCTCAGTCAAGTAAAAATCTCCCTACTCTAAAATGTTGGCTGTACATCCACTTTAATATAAACAAGTAATGCTTTGAAGATTCTTAAAGTGTTTCTAAACCCAAAAACAAACATTTTATATATTGCACCTTACCAGGGTGGGTGGATTAATTTTCACTTTGTGATCCATCTACCGTAGTAAGTCTGATATTTTTCAACATCTTAAACTGCCTCCCGCCCGCCATATAGTAATATGACAGACGCAAGGTGGTTCTCTCATTCTGGGAGGACGTCATATGACGTCCTCCCATTCTAACCACGCATGCGTGGCTCCCGTAGTGCTCAGCATGGCGATCGGCGGTGCGCTGTGTCTCTCGGACACAGCGGATCACCGATCCATGGAAAGAGCCGAAGATTTTGGCTCGGTCATGTGATCAGCTGTGTCCAATCACAGGGAAATGCCGGTTATCGACATTTCTCTCCCCACTAGGAGAGGAGAGCCGGTAATCAGCATTCCTCGGAGGGGACATATACGCAGATCATCAGAGCACTAATGATCAGTGTGCCCTGATGATCTGTGTTGCCCCAGCAGCGCCACCTGTCAGGGTCCATCAGTGCCAGCTGTCAGTGCTCATCCATGCCACCTGCCAGAGCCCATCAGTGCCACATCAATGCCACATATCAGTGCCCATCTGAGCTGCCTTTCAGTCACCCATCAGTGCCAGTCAGTGCCACCTATAAATGCCAGTCAGTGCCACCTATCAGTGCTGCCAATCAGTGTCACCTATCAGTGCCAGTCAGTGCCTCCTATCAGTGCCAGCCAGTGCCACCTATCAGTGTGCATCAGTGCCACCTATCAGTGCCCGTCAGTGCTGCCTATCAGTGCTGCCTAAATGTGCCAGACAGTGCCACCTAACAGTGCCAGTCAGTGCCACCTATCAGTGCCAGTCAGTGCCACCTATCAGTGCCACCTATCAGTGCCATATATGAGTGCTGCCTTTCAGTGCCCATCAGTGATAGCTGTCAATGCCACCTACCAGTGCCTCCTCATCAGTGCCCATCAGTGCCACCTATCAGTGTCTATCAGTGCAGCCTATCAGTGCCCATCACTGCAGCCTCATTAGCGCACATCAGTGAAGGAGAAAAATCACTTATTTACAAAGTTTTATAACAAAAACTAAGAAAACACTTTTTTTTTCCAAATTTTCAGTGGTTTTTGGTTTGTTTAAGAAAAAATAAAAAACCCCAGAGGTGATTAAATACCACCAAAAGAAAGCTCTATCTGTCACAAAAAAATGATAAAAATTTCATATGAGTACAGTGTTACAATTGTCATTCAACAGCGCTGAAAGCTGAAAATTGGGCAGGAAGGGGGTATAAGTGCCATGTAGGCTAGTGGTTAAACAGACCAATTTATCCATCAAAAGAGGCATTAGAGGAAGGAGAACAAACATTTACCACTGGCATTTTACAATGAGAGCTGAGCTTAAAAGGAATGTGCTCAAAGTTCAGTCCAAACATCACTTATAGTAGCAATGGTAAAAAACACTACTGTACAGGAGAGCTTCAATGCTGTTGATGATTGCTAAGGAGGAAACAGCTGACAGCGCCTATTGTATTCTTAGCAACCAGTGACCTCATCCAGGCCCATTCATTTATTACCCAGTAATACCTGGCCATGTAAGCAAAAGGGTAGGGATAACATGACATTAATGACCAAATATGGCCACGGGAACAATAACAAATTTGGCTGTGGCCCTATTTCATAAATTATGTCACCCAAGAGACCCACCTCTTTGTCTACTTTTAGCAGTGGGGTCCTGGAGATTTCATTCAGTGCCAGTCAGTCACAGATGGACATTGTTCATTGTGATTGATGTGGAATTGCATTGTTGGAGGATGCTATTGATAATGGGTTTACTTAATGGAACAGTTATTCTTTTGTTTGTTTTTTTCATAAAAGACTCACCAAAAGTGTGCAAGTATTTATTTACTTTTCACTTTTTTTGTGAAGGAGTAGGGGTATCATTTGTACTTTTTCTGTGATCTGTCTTGTGTGTCTATATTAGACCCTTAGCTAGGAAAAGTGCCTGATATAGATGAAGAGACCCCCTGGCGATTTGTTTACAAACAGAAGTAAGCTACCAGGAGATGTCATTTGCTGGCAATTTAACCACTTACAGCTCGCCCACATTGTACTGCGGATGGGTGGCAGTTACAGACAGAGAAACATGCATGTAGATCGTTCTGCTCTTCTGGGTTTGGAGCATATGCGTGCACTCTCCTGCTGAACCCTCCTCCATTTGCTGCAGGAGATGTTTGCCAGCAGGTCCAGCCCAATGATTTTAGCCCATGACTCTCCCGATCTCCTGCATCAAATGAAGAACAAGAGCTGTGCCTGTGTTTGTAAACAAAGGCACAGGATCTAACTGGATCTTCTCTCCCTGGAACCTTTTCATTCCAGGAAGAGAAAAAAGAGACACCACATGAGTAAAGCAGTACATTTTGCACCCACACATTAGTTAGACACATTTTAACCCCTTGATTTTTAACTCTTTGATCACGTCTGTCACCCAGCCAGTGGCATTAGTACAGTGTCAGTGTATAGTATTATTCACTGATCACTGTATTATTGCCAATAGCAACATCAGATAGCTTTAGATAGTGTCAGGGTCAGTTAGCGCCCCTCCCAGGGTCAGCAAGTTTTAGATTGCCCACGCACTATCACACTCACGCTATAGGTCGCTAATCACCGCCATTGCTAATATAGTGTTTGCATGGATCAATATATTGATTACGAACAGAACTAAACTAGTCCCCCTTAGTATTATTGTCCCCAGAAATGCAGTGTTAGCAGGATTAGTCTTGTTCGCTGCCAACGCTTGCATTTATCCCCTCCGCCCCCCCCAACAAGAAGTGCAGTGTCAAGCCGACCCCATGTAGCTGAAATGCTAGGAACGCATGACTTGTCTCATATCCAGCAGGGAGCCAGTACTAGTGCTGCATTACCTTTTGGTGAACAGACGATTAACAGCAGCCTAGCACATCCTGACATTTTACATACCAGCACTGCAGTATCACTTGGTGATGTAGCGAGTTCCATAAGTGCAGTACAAGCTGGTGTGGTAGCTAGCACAAGTAGCATCTCTCAGCCACCAAGAATTCGACCACAGACTCGTAGAGCCCATAGTATTTTTCAGACATGTTTGCAAATCCTGATTGGCAGCCCACAGATTCTGCAGCGCCCATACTTCCCCCAGTCACTGCCCAACCAATTCAGGTGTAAACAGTCAACGACTCTCCTTAATTTTTTTAAGCTGTTTTTCCATTCACATGGAAACCTATTGCAGTTTCCAAATGTAAAACTTTTTTGGCCTAACCCTCATCATGGGCTTTACAAAAAAGAATGAGTTGCGGTTGTATTGGTTCACAGACCAAATTTATCATATGCTCATGTTCTCTGCTGCCATGCTGCCATGGTGACCCTGAACATGAACGGTTCTACAAACTTTGGCTCTTCATAAACTATCTCACTGAGAAATTTGCAGATGTGTACATGCCCCAGAAAAACATCTGCATGGATGAGTCCTTCAGGCATTTTACTGGCTGCCTTGCATTCAAACAGTACCTCCCCAGCATGTGTTGCAGATATGAGGTCAAACTGTATAAGCTCTGTGAGAGGACCACAGGCTATACATGTAATGTTAGGGTTTATAAGGGAAAAGAGTGAAGTAGAGCCCCGTGACTGCCCAGACTACATGAGGAGCAGTTGCAAGATAGTATAGGACTTGATATCATCTTTGTTCCTCAAGAGGTACCCCTTATATGTGGACAACTTCTCTACAAGCATGCCAATATTTAGATATTTATACAATATTGGAATTAAACTTCCCCCAATGGCTTGCAAACACCTGACTTAAAAATGGGGAGAAAGCCTGCTTGAGAAATGATGAATTGCTTGTAGTGAACTGGAAGGACAAACGAGATGTTTTCATCCTGTCTTCAATTTACACAGATGCGACAGTCCAAATTAGCACAGCATCTAGCATTGTTGAGAAACCCCTCTGTGTCCACGACTTTAACCTTAACATGGGAGGGATGGACTTCAATGACCAAATTATTAATCTGTACCTAGTTTTCTGCAAAGTTCTACACTGGTACAAAAAGGTGTCTATTTATCCATTTCAATTGGCTATATGTAACGCTTTTGTAATTTACAAAGCAACTGGAGGAAGTGGATCCTTCCTAAAATTTTAGGAAGAGATCATCACAGCCCTTTTGTATCCAGAAGGTGCTGTGGCCGAATCCCCAAATGCAGTGAGCCGATTGCATGGGAGACATTTTCCAGATGTCCTCTTTGGTACCCCAACCGAAAGGTCATCTCAAAGAAGATGTTGTGTCTGTAGCAGGCACATAAAAAGATGCAACACTTTTTCTATTCTTCCTGTCCCGACCAACTTGGTCTCTGCATCAAGGACTGCTTCCATTGCTATCACATAGGAGTGGAGTATTAGTATAGGGTACAGCACAGCACAGTCTAGGGAACATTTTCAAAATTCACACACAAGGGTCTTGAAAGATGTTAGATAGTCAGGAAACTGTCTATCGCATTTTGAGAGACCCTAAAACCAGAGGCTGTTCTTAAAAGTTATAGAAAAAAGGAAAAAAAAATAAAAAAGTTACAAAAGTTGTCATTTTACTGAGTTAATGTTCTTTCGCTTTGCGGAAACACCATTCAGCTGCAGCACTGATCTGTTTATTCTGACAGCAACAGGGTGTTGCTCTCAGAATATATGTCAGTGCCTGCAGTGCTGCAGGAGTAGATTTCTCATCCGCAGTTAAAGAAAATAATGTATATGTCCAAGCATGGGGGCCTGGGGTGGTCAGTGGCGGATCACTCCTATGCTTCAGCATATATTTTTTTCACTTGTTTTTGGTAAAGTTTTCTTCAAATTATTTTCTTCAAAAAGAGCATTACATGTATGCCAAACATTAGATATGGGTCGATGCAGGGTGTTATATTCTAATGGTATGCATACCACACACTTTTTGTAGCAGAGGTTTCTTCATCCACACTGATCGATGTGAATGGAGGAATCTTTTAGATTCTCTTTGATCATTCACCCCCACAGGCTGCATGAAAAAAAAGAACATAACATATATGCCCAACATGGACCATAAATGCACTGGTACATTGCTGGACTTTGACGGGTTATACCTGGATGATGCATCATCCTGGTATAGATTTTTTCACCCAGTGGTCGGCTTTTATGTAAAAGCAATCCTAGCGGCTAATTAGTGGCTGGATTGCATTTACAAGCAGTGGGAGGGGATTCCCCCCTCCCACCGCCTTCCACTACTTTCTCAGGCTGTCCTGTCCCACCGGGGAACCCAAGAATTCAGTTGTCAGTTCTGCCTGCTGACTATAGAGCTGATCAGAGACCAGAATGGCTTCAATCATCTCTATGGTTTAAGAAACCAGATGCTACAAGCATTTAAATTGGTAAAGCATCTGATCACACTAATCTTGGGTAGAGGAGTTATCTACAGTCTAACAGACCCCAAATTTCTCAGAAAAGAGTACCTGTCACTGCCTACTGCTGTCATAGGGGATATTTACATTCACTGTGATACCAAAAAAGTGATAAAAAAAAATAAAAGGACACTGTAAAAATAAAAAAATAAAAATAACTAATTAAAAAAATGTTAAGCACACTGGTCCCCCCCCGTGCTCATGCGCAAAGGCGAATGCATCGCTGGTCCTGTGGTGGTATGTAAGCAGCAATTGTACCATGTATGTGAGGTATCACCGCAAACTACAGATCGAGAGCAGTAGTTCTAGCACTAGACCTTCTGTGTAAGTCTAAAGTGGTAACCTGTAAAGGTTTTTAAAGCGTCTCCTATGGATATTAAAAATGTATGTAATTTGTCACCATTTCACAGGCATGGGTAATTTTAAAGCTTGGCACGTTTGGTATCTATTTATTCAGTGTAACATCATCTTTTATAATTTACTTTGAAAAATCTCTGTGTAAATACTGTGTGACATTAATTGTAAATTATAACCCTCACCATTTTATTTTCTAGGGCCTCCTTTTTAAAACATATAAAATGTTTGGGGGTTTAAAGTAATTGTCTAGCAAAAAAATACTGATTTTGCATGTCAAAAAAGGGTCATGAAAGGCTTAAACCTCAAGTGGTTAGAAGAGTGGGTGATGTGTGGCATAAGCTTCTAATGT